GCAAAGTGACAGACGTCACGTACGAGATTGTTCCAACTGATCCCACAAAGTCATCGTCAGCTCCGAGCGACACCGTTCACGTGGCTCGGCTAAAGCCCTATTACCCCCCTTCGACACCATCTGCGTAAATTTAGCACCGGGACGGTGCTTCTACCGCCGGGGGTTATGATACGAAAATGCGGCAAAACACGGCTGCAAGAAAGAGGAGGACGAAGTGGGTTTTTCCGTTGGATGCTGGTCTGGCGCCATCTTACTCGTCGAGTTCTGTGCACTGTAAATAGATCACTAAAGAAGTTACTCGTAACAATATAAAGTGATTCTATTTATTATTCACGTATTCTGAAGTCGAAGCATTATTCTGTATTGAATTTGAATGCCTTGTCACAAAAATAAAACTATCTTAGTTGGTTAGAAGTATGAGTGCGCGACAACCACTGCAGCTTTCTGTGATCGCCGTAGCCTTAAATGTACATTCACACGGCTCTTACCAGTAGCGTCTTCAATGAAATTTTTTTCTATCAGTTCAATCTTTTTTTAACAGTTCAATTTTTTTCTATCAGTTCAATAGGGAGGGAAGTGTAGGAGAAGAAGCTAGAATAAAGTGGCGGAGGACGCCCATCTATTCTATGTTCAGTGTAATAGTTGTAGAAACGCTGCATATTTAACCGATATATTAAGATATAAGGTGGCCAGAGTGTTACCATTACCAGAATTAATGCTCTGCTTTCGGGCATACAAGTATATTGAATATATAGCAATTTGTGTTCAGTATAACACGTAAAATAACTTTCAACAAAAACATAAGATCGTTGAAATTTTGTACAAGGAGCATGAAAATTTGGTGCCCCAAGGAGCACTTACACAAAAAAAAAATATTTTTCGGAGTTGTTTTCACTGTGCCCAGTCACAGTTATTCTCCGGAGAGTCAGAAGAATTGCGCTGCTATGAATGCTGGATTGTAAACAAAGTAGGCTACACATACAATATTTTATTTTATTTATTCCTACTCTTAGCGCACATTCCCGAGCTGAAGTTGCCCTAGGGGCAAGAACTACAAGGTTTTTAAAAAATTACTCCAGGCGGCGCCAAGAAATCAGTCGAAATGAAGCAATAAAACCAAAAATAAATCAAGACGTGATTCTACCATTCAAAAAGGACAGTATTGTACAACTCAGCAGAACACAGCAGAACAGCCGGGTGCACTGAATAAATTAAAAACGACAGTCTTTCTTGGGATACGTCAACACTGAAATTTCGGTCTGTCTCTCTTTCTGTTTGTCTGTCTGCGCACGATTCAGCCACCCAGCGAAAATTCAGGCCCTTGCTCAATGCCCAGCAGTCTTGATATGGTGGCTCCGTTCAAACTTGTGAACATTGCCAATCAAAAAGCAAATATCACGCAAGTCGCAGGCGCTACATCGATACGTAGATTTTACGTAGCGTGTTTCCTTAATAAAAAATGTATAGATGCGTAATCCTAAAGATCAAAGCGTTCCTTAGGCTGCGCTGGCAATGCGACGCTGTGAACCAAAAATCGGGTGTTTCCTACACTTCGCTAAGATTAGAGCCACTGCATATGTTATCTTTAGGTAGCAGTTTAGCGAATTTGTCGTCCGACGCTGCTAGCAACCATGTACTGCGGATAAGCTGAGGCACAGGCCGCGCCTTCGATAGCGGTTGCCACCCACATGGAATTTATCAAGTGACCGTCGTGCGTTCTGTAGCTCATTAGCTAGGTAGTAGTGCTTTTATTTGTTTTAGATTCGTGTCCTGAAGCTTCGGCAGCGAAGTACAACTTGTGTAGATTCGGCACCATTTTTCAAAGACCTACTGAAATAATCAGTGCTGTAGGCTTCGCGGGGTTTAAATTTCCGAGGACCTTTATTTTGTGTTTGCGAGTTATTTTTTTTTATTGCGGCAAACACTTGGCTTTAAGGCATAATATTTTTGTGTTAAATGTGGGCTGTAAGGCCGGTGTTGTGTATGAAGTGAAGTAGTGTCTTGTGAAATCTGTTTTCATGTATCCACCAGTTGTAACTGACTGTGTCGCTGTCGCGAAGGCCGGCTTGAGCGAGGTGACGGGAGCGTTCTGGCTGCAACCATTTACATATGCTTATCGTCCATAGCTAGCGCCACTTCACCATGCAGCAGCGCCTGTGCGTGTTATTCGGCACTACGATATGCCTTTGCGTAACCGGACAGACTAACTTTTGAACTCCTGTCACACGGTCCCGAAAGCAGGTATTTCTTCTTTCTTTTGCCGGACGCTGATATGTCAGGAACGTCGACTGGCGATCGGCGATAAACTTTAACAATCACCCGCAAAGGAAAAAAAAAACGCGGCTTCACCGCGTAATTATGGTTGCTAACCAGGCAATATGGCCGACGTATGCACTATACTCTGCTCCAGTAGGGAGCATGTACAGTGACTATGACATGGTGCTGCCACCTATCGCTGCCTCTGCGTTCTGCACAAGCTTTTGTTTGCCGACACTACTGCCAGATGGCGTCCATATATCTCGCATTTCCTCCATACAAGAAGATTATCGTCGATATTCGACGACAGTTGCAGCGAAGCACGCAAATCGGCCAATTTTTACTGTCCAGTTTAACATTCGAAAGCTGCTTTAAGTAGAAAAAGACCATTTCCGTTAGTAATTCATTATGTAGAGCTTCAACGCCTTTACGCAATACAACTTCATTCGATAATTTGTTATGCGTGTCAACTGCAGATAGCCAAAACAAATAACGGTATACTTTGATAATTTGTTATGCGCATTCAAAGGCCGCCGAGCCTCTGAATGCGCATAACACCAGAAACGGCGCTTTGGATGGATGGATGGATGGATGGATGGATGGATGGATGGATGGATGGATGGATGGATGGATGGATGGATGGATGGATGGACGGACGGACGGACGGACGAATGGATGGATGGACGGACGGATGGATGGACGGACGGACGGACGGACGGACGGACGGACGGATGGACGGATGGATGGATGGATGGATGGATGGATGGATGGATGGATGTGGCGGCACCTTTAGATTGGGCGGCGGCACTCTTTAGATCGGGGGGTGGTTAACGCCACCTAGCTGTAGTACTTAGTGAACCAACAACTAAGTTTATCTTTTTTTTTTCTTTAAATGGTGAAGTTAAGGACTGGTACTTTGCAGTGAAGGGTTGGATTTTCACTCGTGCCTCGACTTTAGCCACCAATCAGATAGTTAATTCTACCCGCTTAAAGTCTATTTTGCCCTCCCTGTCCCTAAACCCCAGTGCTTTGAAAAACTTTGCGCCATCATCTTGAACTATAGGGTGAAGCCCTTTACAGAACATAATCAAGTGTTCAGCAGTTTCTTCCTACTCTCCACATGCTTTTATTGTACTACAGAGTATTCTGGCGTACGGCACAGCCGAAGAACACGCGATCATCTCTCTCCTTTCGTACGTGTGTAAAGCTCCAGTACAGTGTTCTTTTCATCTGCGCCACTTCCTCCTCTCTCCGCCGGAGCTTCTTGTCTCTTCGGGTGGATGCGGCGAAGAACCGGTTTTCGCCGCTCGGCGCCATGTTGGATGCGCCAGAGCGCCACTGTGTTGCTTGTTCCTCGCATGCTAAGTGCAGGACGTGTGAGAGCATTTCTCTCAAAAGTGGTTAATGTTTCGAATTCGCTTAATGTTTAGAGCGCAGCCCATGTCCGCAACAGCATGCACGTCATGTGTGCTCCTTATGAAATGAACCGCGGGCACTTGCAAAAAAAAAACGCTTTGCTGCAATACATAAGACGATGCACCGAACTTTTTCAATGCTTTGAAGTGACACTGTGCGCTGAGTTCAAAGAATACATCGCTAGAAATGGGTGAGTAGTAATTTTGACAGTGACGACGCGACTGCGCTTTCGACCTCTACGTCACAGCACCATCTTGGCCGTCCGCAATTCTATATATTTTCCGTGTGCAAGAACGACATTATCACCTACATTGCCTGCAGCGCCCATGAAGACATGTAAAACCTCAAGACAACCCATGGCAATGGTTGCGAACTGTGCTGCAGAGGACAAACAATATAATGGTGTACTGCAGGCACAAGTCATTGGACAGGGATAGGAGAGATAGCGTGTGATACGTCACGAAGTTCTGAGCGAGCTCTTTCATGGACATTGTTGACATTGCTGCAGTTATAAAATATCGAGATAGTTTGTACGCACGTGAACTATTTCTTCCCAAACGGCATGGCTTAAGATACCACAGCTGCGATTTAAAGATGTCTACCAGTTCAATAATTAGCGTGCCGAGTTTATTTAATTTAATTTCAACCTGTTCTCAATAAATCCAGTTATGTATATCAGCGCCAGATACACAAGGAAACACTACGCTGCGATAAGTTTAAACGACGGGCGATTCGCTAGAACTTGTGCATGACTTGCAGAAACTCTTCTGCCATAATATTGATGGTGAGCGCACCCAATCTTGCTGACGAAAATCAACGCAGAAGAATCATTACATAAAGCTGTATGCGATGCACGGAACACGGCTGTACAGGAGCAGCTTTAACTAATGCAGCAGTGGCGGCGTGCCACCAGCTAGAAAACAAACTACAAGCTCATGGCGCGTTACAAATGGCGCCACTGTCGCAAGCGAAAGAAAAAAAGGCAATGTACCGGAGAGGAGGCGGCGAGGGGGAGAGTAGATGTCGGTACTTTTACGAAGTATAGGGGCTTTGTACGTGTGACGTCAGTACCACCCTCTATGGCCCGCTCAAGAACTAACGAGAGGTGGTTATGCACAGCGACAACGGGGGACGCACGAGCCACGCCATATGGAGCTTCGCCCCTTAAACAAGCAAATAGAGCTGCAGCTGGTCCGCTCAGACCTGGAAGAGCAAGAATCCTGTTAGATCCAGTGGTCAGTCGAGGCCAGCTTAGCCCTTAGTGATGGCTCCAGTCAATCGATTGCAGACGCTTTTCCTTTTGATAAATCAAGTGAAGATTCACTCGATCTCAAGGCAGAAAACAACACGGAGTTTATTAGAGTAACTTCATACAGCAGTGGTTTCAAGGCTTCAAAAACAACTAAACTGTTACATCGCCTCTTTGTAGCAAAGTACACTGCAGAGTATTCAACCTTGCTCAGCATTGCAAAAAAGCTTTGATTATTACCCTTTGAAGCCCAGGCGGGGTCAGTGGTGTAGGCGCACTTCTCTACTCATCAGCATCAATACAACCGATCACTCTCGAAGAGTTTAAAGCTGCTTGTACACATCCTCAACTTCTCTATGGCTTTACCACATACTAGAACCAGTGCTCCGAGTTTTCCACTCGTTTGAGCCTTAACCGGTAACAACGCTCTGGCCAAAGATACACCAAAGATAACCCTTACTGTATGGAAACACCCCAATTGCACACCACAAAGCATACAAGGACAAGTGCCAAACACTGCTTTTTCCACTAATTAGAGCTTTAGGTGAAATGCTGTCACGCTTGAGCTAAATGTTCCCGGGCCTGCCACATAGGTTGGACAGTTTCGAACAAGGTAACGTCGCTACAGTTGTCGCAAACTGCGCAGATTATATTTACATGAAAAGTGCTGCCTTTCTTATAAGTAGACTCTCAGAGGTCCGGAAACCCTAACTGTCTCTTCCTCTGAATTCAAATTTTAGTGTAAGTTTCCCATCCTTCACGACGTCGTCTTTACCAAGTTTGTCGTTCGATATCGAAAACCAGCCAAGAAAATGTAAATTGCCCTTGTAACAGCAATCACTGCACCTCGTGTCCCCTTGGTTTAGAAAAAGTACGAAGTCCCCAGAACTTCTACGTACCACTTTTACACTAAGTTCCAAGAACGGTAAGTCGTAAGTTCCCCATGTCTTAACGCACTCTACTTTCACGTAGAAAAAAGGAGAGCGTTCCGAGCTTGAGAAGATAAGCTCAAAACACATATCACTGTAGTAATGTTTCGCGACTGTGAATACCCGTTTGTTAAATATATTTCCAGCATTTTCCAGTGTAACTTCGAAGCCACGAGGTCGAAAATCTTTGCCGCCAAAAGTGCAAGAACCACTTGGGAAATGGGTAATATTCGAAACCCATAACTCTTTTTCGTGCCGATAGTTTTGATGCCGCAGCAGTTCAAGAGTTTTCAATGATTCGTCGATCAACACATCCTGCTTAAAGCGCCATGGGATCTCTTCAGTCCCGAAAACTGCAGACCTGTTAAACGTTTGTTTCTGTTCTGTAACACCAAACGCATTTTCCAAAAAGTGCCCTTGATCCGTCAGCATTGAAGACAGATTGGTCTCAACTCTGCCGACATGTTCCTTCAACTCCTCCGTCACATTAACAACTTCATGTAACGGGGTCTTCACGGTCTCTCTCACTTCACTTTGATATGCTCTTATTACACGTAATATTTCTTGCAACTGAGATTTCATGTCTTCCTTCACTTCGCTGTGGGCGCCTCTGAGCATGCGCTCAATTTCCTGTAAATGGGACGCATTGCGATGACGTGAATCTTCAAGGAGTTCGTTCAGTTGGCTTTGAAATGATGGCAGGCTATCACTGCACTCGTCTTTGTTCGACGCCTTCAGTTCTTCAAGACCGGCTATCATGTCTCGAGCGACCGTCGTGCAGATGTTTTTCTCGATACTTTCCATTCCACGTTGAAGACTATTTGCGATTCCACTGATTAGAAGACTGATGTCCTGCGAACGCGCAGAGACTTCGTTCAATTGTCTTTGAAGGGCGTAGAAGCTGTCTAGGTCAGGGATCGTGTTGCAACTAGTTGATGAACCATCTTGTCTGTCCGCCTGTACACCACCTTGACAGGAAACTTTTTGAGGGCATCCGGCGACATAGTGTGCTGCAATGTCCATACGCAGTATTCTTTGTTGACACCGTGTACACTGGAGGGCGTGGAAAGCGCATTCTCTGTCGAAGTGCTGTAGTACGTTCTCGATGGTTCCAACAAACTCGCAGCCGTAGGCCTCGTTCCAGCAGTGGGCCTGCACAGCAAAGAGTTCCGCAAAAAAATATGCTCGGCTTTAATGCTGGTACACTGCGGTAATATTGCAAAATTAAAGAACCTGTTCGCGTGTAATAATTGAAGTAATGGCAGGTATAATCACAGTATGTAATGTTGTCTTAACAACGTAATAAAAGAAACATCTGTATTCGAAAATGGGTGTTGATTGTAAACGTGACAAAATGTGGTATTATGAGACTCCGGCTTGACCTCTTTCACAGCGTTCAGTGGTCATCTGTTTCTCGCACGACTGTGGCAAGAATTTGTTTGGATCATCAATTTTACTCGCCATTAAAACCTGGAACGGATTTCCGAAGCAAAGCAAGTATTACAAGAGAGATGCGTCACAATGGGAGATATAGGTTGAATTTTGCAACTCACAGTTATTTCAGAGCCACGCCTCCTAGAAAAACTATGTCTGGAACGTGGCTGTCTCTTCAATTGAGAGCTTGCTGCCAGCACAAAATCTCGGAGGTCATGCCTCCTACCGCGTGTTGCGACCGTCCGCCGCGTGAGACCGCTCGCCTCCGTACTGCTCAGTCACGTGATATTACCGTACCGCTCTGTCACGTCACATCACAGCTGCTCGGAGGCAACTGTGAGAGCATTGCTGGGTTCGCAGGGGGCGACCACCACAGGCGTTCGCCTCCGTAACGGAGGGGGAGGGTAAAAACCGAGGGTAGGGCGGCGCATTAGCGGCTCACGTTCCAGGCATAATTTTTCTAGGAGGCCTTGTTCAGACATATCTGAATATAACCACATGAAAATAATTGGACGTTGCTGTGGTGAAAAGAAAAGTGCGGCGGATCCTTCTTGATCTCGGAGTCGATGTCACTCGAAGCAGTAGACAAGTAGTGAGTGGCTATATAGCATTCTATTATTCTTTGAGACACGCGTTGCGAGTTGGACTGCCTTCGTGCATTTTGAATAGTTATGTGTATTTCGTTGGCACGCCCATAACGGGTTGGACCATTATCTTTCGGAATTTCGAGTGGTTATGTGTAGCACGTGGGCGAAGGCGTAGCAGGTAACATTTTTTTTGGGCGGTGTGTGTGTGTAAGAGGGGGGGGGGGGGGGAGGATCTACTTGCTGAAGGCCTTGTTTACGGGACAAATGTATCTATTTGAGAAACCAACAATTTGGAGGGGCACAAGGCTCACGTGAGGTCTTCCCTATATACCTTCCCCCGCCACCCCCACTACGAGACCGATCTTGGGTCTACCAAGCAGCGCGACTTTAGTGACACCCAACGGTATACGATGGTACGACGTAACGTCGGTAGTCACGTTCGAGCACAAATACCGTTTTTATATGGAAGCAGCCTAGCGTCGTGTCTTTTCCCTTGTATACAGCGTTTTGCCCGCGTTTTGCCGGCGTTTTGTACGCCGGCATCACTCGGCATCGACACTGCCAGTGACGGTGGTCAAAACGTCCACTTCTGGACGATTCAGATATATGCAGCGTCGACGGGCAGAAGCGAGTATATGGATAAAGAACCAATCAGCGCACGGCTGCCGGCGACTTCCGCTACGTAACAGCATCGTCACTGCTGTCAAAATGGTTGCCGCCCGCCTCGAATCTACTAAGTCGTCGCCGTGTTCTGTGTGACCTGAAAATTCTACACTGATGTTTGTATCTATTTCACCGTAACCGCTTGGGATTTCTTCTAACTGTTTTCGAGCGCCACACTCAAGTCCATCGATAGGGTTAGCAGGCCTGTGAGCATTGGCTGAATATGTGGCCTCAAAGGTGTACAACAACATCCAAGCTCAGGGGCCATATATTGCGAGTTTCTAGTTCTTATTCTCAGCAGCTGGTGCTCCAAGTAAAAAAAAAATAACCGTTCCTGGGGTACTTTGTTTTGTTTGCCTCCTCAGAACTGGAAAGGAGACATGAAAAATATATATTCAGGAATATTTCTTGTTGCTGCATTGATGGACACTGCACACTGCTTTGTGGGGTGTCGAGTTGATTCTCTTCGACACAATGTGTGACGCTGCGCCGGTGCTGGCCTCAGCGCTTTCCATGTGGCTGGCCGCCCTCTCTTGCGCCGATTATATCACGACGCTGACGAACGGACGTACAGGCAGACATACAGACAGACGGACGGACGGATGGACAGACGGACGGACAGACGGACAAACGGACGGACATACGGACGGACATACGGACAGACAGACAGACAGACAGACAGACAGACAGACAGACAGACAGACGATTTCTGACTCTGATGTACTTAAAATGAGAAACGGTTTCCATCGTATTGCGTAGTTAACGTCAGCGGAGTTAACATGTAATCTTCCTTACTTTGTAACAAAAGGCAATAGTGAGTACGCCGGCCACAGTCGACGTTGTCACGATATAAGGCCACTGTAGTGTCTTTCTCGTGAGCAGTTTGAAACACCGGCGTAGCTCTGAGGAAGAACAGTTGACAACCTCGCAGAATGTCTGGGTTCGATTTTGGCTCTCGCCGCGATTAACCATCTTTCGGTTCCTCCCACCTTTCCCTCACCGACAACGCTGCCGGCGCCTTCCCCGCCTGCGATACAAGCTCCACAGCGCTATCGCGTAAAGCTTTTTGAAAGTATCTTATCGTCGTTCCCAGTTTGATACTAACCTGTGGCTCGTACCCTCATTCCTTCAACCGTGCATGTGCGGGTATATGTCACACGTGACTGAAAGATGGGGTTTGATTACGTATGCGACAGATATCTCACGCTATCTATATAATAACCTGCTCATCATGTTCTCCCTACATTGTTGCCCTTGAGACAGACAGACAGACAGACAGACAGACAGACAGACAGACAGACAGACAGACAGACAGACAGACAGACAGACAGACAGACAGACAGACAGACAGACAGACAGACAGACAGACAGACAGACAGACAGATAGATAGATAGATAGATAGATAGATAGATAGATAGATAGATAGATAGACAGACAGACAGACAGATAGATAGATAGATAGATAGATAGATAGATAGATAGATAGATAGATAGATAGATAGATAGATAGATAGATAGATAGATAGATAGATAGATAGATAGATAGATAGATAGATAGATAGACAGATAGACAGATAGACAGATAGATAGATAGATAGATAGATAGATAGATAGATAGATAGATAGATAGATAGATAGATAGATAGATAGATAGATAGATAGATAGATAGATAGATAGATAGATAGATAGATAGATAGATAGATAGATAGATAGATAGATAGATAGATAGATAGATAGATAGATAGATAGATAGATAGATAGATAGATAGATAGATAGATAGATAGATAGATAGATAGATAGATAGATAGATAGATATATAGATAGATAGATAGATAGATAGATAGATAGATAGATAGATAGATAGATAGATAGATAGATAGATAGATAGAGATTCAAAGTGCCTACACTCTGCTAAGAAATGCTTGGTTTTTAAAAACACAATAACTTTTTTTTTCAACCTTCCAATAAAGTATGGCGAGGTACTTCGTCCAAGATTGCCTTTCTAACCGGCGTTCGGGCAGCTGCTTACGCGCGCCACTTTTTCGACAGTGCCTCTATAACTCGGACATGCAGAAATCTCGCAAAAACCCAACGTCAAAGGCCTCCATAGAGATGTATTGGGCGCACGTTTTGTTTACGGGCCTCGGATAACAGTTTAACCCGGTTTTTAGGAGACGCCAGTGATGCCTGGTATATACTGACCTTCAGGTTCCGTTTCTTCTTCTCTGGAAGCTTCAACTTCTGGCACTCGTCTTCGCTGAATGGCTCTGTGTCAATGGGACAGACGCTTCCGCCATCTTGGATGACGCACCCCGCCAGGCACTGCTCGCACAGAATGTGAGAACAGGGCAGCACGACCGTCGTCTTCGGAATGACGTGGCAGACGCAGCATGCGTAACGGAGCACCGTCAACTCGTCCTGGAAACGCGTCGGGCGCCAGTTCGCGCCGCTCACTGAATCGCACAGTTGGTGCAGGGCTTGACGACTTCCTCGACCCGGCATGGCGCGACCGACGACTGATCTAGGACGCCCTGCTTCTGGTGAATCGGTAGACGAGGAGCCGCGATCGTTCGCTAGGGATCACGCGACTGCCGATAAGGTCGACAGGATGCGGCGGCGGGCCCGGCACCGCCCCATTCTGACGACCTTATCTTCGTGTACAGCATTCTCGAGAGAGTTATCTGTTCCGCAGATCCACGGTTTTCCTCGCGCGTATGCACTGGGGCCGCGAACTGTTTGCAGAATCGAACCAGCTCGTTCGTTGCCTCACGTACCGGCCTTAAGTAAAACCGCTTGTTCTTGGAAAATATCGATACTTTTCACGTCGCGCTCGCTTCCTTCTTCGATTCTCCTTGACGCGTGCTGTTCACGGCTAGTGCGGCACGCACGGCACGCGGCGCAAGGTACAACTAGACTGAAACGGTGAAAAACGCGCTCCTTGTCACCGCGTGCGTTGCATCTCAGTAGGAAAAATGACATACTTTAGCCACGAAATATCATAAATACAGAGTAAAGAAACACACAACGACATAGACAAGCTGCTTGTCCTCGTGGTTGTGTGTTTCTTTACTCTGTGTTAGTGATAATTCACGGCTAAAGTGTGTCATTAGGCAAGGGTCAACTAGGGTAACAATCAATCAGTAGAGAAAAACTGGACGACGCTTAAGTTTGAGCTTCGCTTCAAGATTTTAACGTGATAGTGTGTGCGATCAGACCCCATGAATTCACATCACCTTTTCAACCGGTAACCTTCCTTCACTTTTCGGCGGCGACGTCCGGAAACTGAACGTTTGCGCTAGTGGCATAGGCTGCTTAAAATTGCCCAGCCTGCTGCCATTATATAGCGAAGGGCTGGCTCACTATACCATAATTCTTCCTTCGCGAATCAGTGTAGTACCAAGCTGTGCGTACGTAATGCAACATGCCAAGGTACGCAGCTGCTCACCTTGTGGACACTATTGATTATGATAAGGATAATTAAATAAGTCGTTGTGCTTTCTAATGGGTATGCCAATATACTACTCAGTCCTTGTACAAGTCACACAAATTGACGCCAGGCGCGAATCTACGCTTCTGCCACGCAAATTCTACATGCGATAAAGAGACTCGCCACATTACTTGGCATTAGTATAGGATTTTCATTCGGAAGAAGCTCCAAGCGATTGCATGGCTTGGAGGCAGCACAGGCAAACAGTGTATACATTAGACATACACCCTAAGATATAAACTTCGGGTGGCGTATGGGATCAAACACGTACAATTTATGTATAGTTGCACCGTTATGTACGACGTTGCTGCTTACTGATCACAACACGTTTCAAGATTTCGAGTTGGGGTCAAGATTGGTGGTGAATGAGTGAACAGATTCGGACGAACCTATGCCACGTGGCAGGTTATACTATAATTGAATGACCGACGGAAAGTAAGAATACTTAAATGGATTGCAACGGCCAGCTGAAAGGACCAATACTCTTGTCGCAGCCAGCTGTGGCGGAACAATGGTATGTTGGTTTTAGGTACTCGTGTTTGCTTATATTGAGGCCGTCATGATAGGGCAAACAAATTTTAACGCAGCAGTGCATCGTCGGATTGTCTAAGTCTGAATGTTTGCCCTAGTGCGTAGAGAGGTTATGTTGACGCCATGTGAATACCGGGAATACACAAATCGGGGCGTTTTATTTTCCTCGAGCTGGTTGAGAAGGTATACACTTGGTGGGTACTCCGGAATACACTGTCTTGTTTAAGCCGTACAAGGGCTTTATGAATCGTTAGTTTATCTTTGCAAGGTGTTTGAGCAAGTTTTCTGCGAAGTTCACCCGACGGCCTGTATGCTTTCGTACGCGTCTGGTTAATGTGGTCATCGCACTTTAATGTGTTTGTCATGCTAGCACCCAAATATTTCACTGATGCGTCCCCAGCTACGCGTAGTCACATTAGTTGATACACAAAATTCAAGGGTGCCTTCTTTCAGATTATATGCGTGTATGAAGTTTTTCCAACATTCGTTTCCATTCCCCACTCTTGACACTATCTTGAAATGTTAGTGAGGGAGCTTTTTAGCCAGATCTTGTCGTCGATCGTTCTGCTGTGGTATAAATGCAACAGTCATTCACAACACAGTTCAACCGTTACAACAGGTTCAACGTGAGAATGGATGTCGTTAACGAAAATCAGAAAAAAATAGGGCGTGGCACCGATCCTCGTGAAACACCCGAGTGGACAGCTATAGCTCTTCAGGTTCTGCATTATTTATCATAACGTGCTGGCTGTAGTTTCGAAGGTAAGCGGCTATCCAGTGTGCTATATTGGTTTCAATGCCGGTTGCCTTCAGCTTTAGAGAAGTTAATGAAAAGCGCTTTAAAGAACTGTATGAGAATTTCGTCAGATTCAATTCTCGAGGTAATTACGGCATAGCAACGTCGCACGCAATTTCGAGAAGTCGAGTTATGGTAGGAATAGCTTGCCTGTCGCATACGTCATGAAGCCATTTCCATTAACGCCTGTAGCTGTAGCTGTATAACATGACATGTAGTGTACGGGTGTATGCTACAGGTAACAGAAAGTCCTTATCAACCCGGAATCGGTATGAACGCAGCGACCTGAAGGGGTCAATGTTCCTTAAAAAATGGGGTGCCGACGTCGGCAGTGTTGTCATTAAGTGAAAAAATCACCATTAAAGCCAATAAATGAAATCATGGCTCAAGCCTGAACCGAACGCAGACATTCTGCATGATAGTCAAGTGTTCAACCGCCGAGCCACGCCAGTGGTCTTTGCTGTTTAGAAAATACACCCACGTCCGCCACGTTGTTGCTGGGGTTAAGGTGATCGGCTCCCGATTGGAAGGCCACGGGCTCGATCGCGGCTGTGGCAGCCGCATTTCAATTGATACGAAATGCTAAAGGCCCGTCGGCGGTGCGATGTGGGTGCACGTTAAAGGTCACCAAATGGTCAACATTTCGGGAGCCCTCCAGTTCGGCATCTTTTATTATCTTACAGCGATCCTGGGGCGGAAAAACGCATATACGTTATTCGGAAAACGCCCTGTGCCATGCAACGGTCGATGGTAGTTGTATGGTTGTCTGTTGCTGTGTGTTGCAGTGTAACAAACATCACGTGCTTTAGTACAGCATTGCTCGTAAACACCGACGATGACTATCTATACGATGCCGTTACCCCACTGTATGCAGCGTACATTTCCCTGCAACAAAATCGCACCTTGCTTCAATGCGAGTGCCGACCTTATGTCGGAGGATTAGCTAACCTTCGCACACCAGTGTAGTCGATAAGGTTACAAAGTCCATTGCGATGCGCACAACAGTGAAACTTAACGAATGACGTCGATGCACCTTGCAACACGTACCACAAAAATAACTGCATGGGCTGCCATTCACTGAGCGCTTCGCTTGAAGTAAATTCCGATAAGGTACATTGCATATGCCGATTTTTTGTTGTTTTATTCGTGAAACGCTTCCACCTCCTGAAATTCAAGGTGCCAGCACAGCATTCCTAAAGCACTTGTCTACGTGTGAAATAGACCCACGAAAAAGCACAAGCAAAAACAAGCCTTCGAAATTGTTCGTAAAAATAACTAGCATCCTTCAGAATGCCAACAAAAAATTTTAACTACAGTAAGCCTAGACCAGGAAGAAAGGTCTTTTTTTAAACAAAAGTGGTCCGGTGAAGTCAGTGGGGCTTTTATATATATAACAAACCAATGAAAATAATTTGCGCTTTTAATCGGCCAAGTATTACTTCCTTTCAATGCACAACAAATGGCAGTCTATTAGGATAACCTCGTACAGCAGTGCCTATAAGTCTTCACAAACAAGCACAATTTAAAACCTATTGCAGCAAATCACTCTGCATGGTAGTTGAACTTCCGCCCGATTGAACAGTTCCTTTGAAGCCCAAGCATGTCTAGTTGGCTAAACGCTAAGCTTCATTCTTGCCGTGATCAGTACACTCTACCACACACACACACAGTACTTTTTGTGTGTGGGGGGGGGGGGGGGGCGTAAAGATGCACAAGCATATTCTAAACTTTACGGTGGTCCCTTGCAAGACACTGAACTTCACGCCCTAAACGCTGCACAGTGCTGTAAGAGACTTTCATTGCTCCCAGCTAGTTCGAGGTTCCAGGCACTCTATAAATAGGGCTGTAGTCGCCCACAGAAAAAGCCTGCGCTATATGCAAGCCCTGGTTTACACGCCACAACACGTACAAAAATTTAAGACAACTGCATATTTTCTGATGAGTAGTGTTTTAGACGAAATGTTTGCGGCATCTCACCTTGCGGTCTAAAACAGGGGCTATACTTTTTATAGTTTCTCACTATAATTTTATTGGGTTGCGATATTGCGCGTGATTGCAGTACAAGTCATGTCACACAGGATTTCGTTATCTCGGGGACCTCACATGGATTGTGATTGGAAACAAAATTTCAGCGTAAGTTTTCCGTCTTCTGATACACCGTCTCCACCGAGCATATTTTCCTGTAACGACCACCTGCTATGCATATGTGAAATGCCCTTGTCACGGCAGGGACCGCACGTACGTACAAGTTTTCTTTCAAGAGGTGCGGCCCGTTTACTATCGCTTCTTATTGCATATAAAGAAAGCTCCTTGACGGAATGTCTAAAATTTATTGAAGTCCAAACATAATCTAGTCTTACGCAGAACACCCTGCGCACCTGCAGCTGACGAGAAAAGGTAATATGAATACACATATCCCTGTAGTATAGCATTCTGTAGAGTATTTTGTCTGTATCATTTAACATTTTATAATTTTCCACGGTCACATCTAAACTTGAACTTCCGAAATAATTCGTCCACATGACGGAACAATCACCCGAATGAGATTGAATTTTTGAAACCCACGGTTGTTTGTTCTGCCGATAGATCTCCTGCCGTAGAAGTTCCAATCTTTCCACTGCTTGGCTGAGCAAAACTTCTAGCTTGAAGTGCCATGCCGTCTCTTCTTTTGCCATTGTTGCAGCGCCAATTGATTTTTCCCTTTCAATTGGCTTTTTATTCTTGTTTAAAGAATCAAGCACTGCTCGTTCAAAATGCTGTTGGTCCGTTAGCCTCGAAGATAGAGTGCCCAAAACCCTGCTCACATGATCTTTCAAGTCACCAACGCAGTCCCTCATCCCTCGAACAAACTCAAACTGGCTCTTCACGTTCTTCTTCACGTCGCTTTCCGACTCTCTTAGCAGAGACACTATCTCCTGTAACCGGATATTCACTTCTTCCTTCACTTTTATTTGGGAGTCTCTCAGCACGGATCCAATCTCCTGTATCTGGGACGCATAGTGCTGCCTCGACTGTTCAACGAGTTTGTTCATTTGGCTCTGAATAGATGACAGGTGATCACTGCAAGGGACCATGGTCATGGCCTTCAGTTCTTGCAAACCAGTGGTCAGTTGTCGAGTGATCATAGTGGAAATGTTTGCTTCGACTCCTTCCATCCTACGCTGAAGAGTATTCTCAAAGGCACCTAATGCATGGCTGATGTCCTGCGAACGGGCAGAGTTCGATGCCCTACATACTTCCAAAACTTCGTTTATTTTTCTCTCAAGTGTTGAGAACTTGTCCAGAAGAACGTTCGTCTCGCAATCGGTAGGCGAACCATCGTGCCTGTTTGACTGTGCATCTCTTGCACAAGAAGCATTCTTGGAGCACCCGGAAATGTAGTGTGTTGCAATATCCGTTTGTAGCAGCCTTTGTTCACAGTTTGTACATTGGACGGCATGAAATGCGCATTCCCGGTCGTAGTGCACCAGCACCGCTTCGATGGGGCCAACAAATTGGCAACCGTCAGCCTCGTTCCAGCAGTGAGCCTGTATAAAATAGAACGCATATGAAAGAAGATTGTTTAGCTTTCATGCGTATATTCCCCCATAACATATGCACATAAATGACACTGTCCTATAGTAAACATCGTAATACAGCTCTGATTTAAGCAACATTCAAAAAGCTCCCATTCTATAAGTTACGTTAACCGAGCCTGAACCCCACGCAGTTGAGTCACAGGGCAGCGAATAGAGCATGTGTTTTATATTGTTTAACGATTTCAACGCACCTTTTCTGGCACCGCCAAATCGGTTCCACTGCGTTGCGGCAAAAGAACCGTTCCTTTGAATGATGGTCGAGCCGTCATATGCGTGCATCGGGAAGGGCCCGAGTGTACAAAGAGCCTGCCCAGAGGTGCGCTTCAGTCGCGACTTCAGGAAGACAATAGAGACGTGGGTCACAGCTGACATGGCACGGAAGACTAAGTTTTATATGTGATGGTAGGGAGCCTCGGAAGTGATTTGCGGTTTTGCGAAAAATATGGCCGCGGCAGCCCAGTTTCACGTAAAGTGGTGAACGAGAGGAGAATGTGCGTTTCGCCGAGAGTGGACAGGCGTTGAAGTGGCGGGTGGCATCGTTTATCAAGGGGAAGCCCGAATGCCGACAAAGGGGACCCCTCGTGGCTAGCGCATCTGTGGCTTCAAAAGGACAACGGTGAGGCCAGATCTCACTTTGATTTTGCGTGAGGCTAAGGGCAAGTTAACTTGCTGAGTGTTTGTGTTATCCTGGCCAGTTGAGGGACTCGCGAGTGATGTCGCAGCACCATGCCTACTTCACAAAAACAGAAGCAAATTTTAAACAAAGGAGCCTGGGACACTGCTGTAGTTGTCGCACAGTGTTGCGACAAATATGTACTGTAGACGGCGGACTCGAAAAGGGGTGGCTTCGATGTAGACTGGAAGAGCCTTACCTCTTTTTTCAGTACAACGATCTGCTGCACTCATTGATTGAAATAGGGTGAAGGATTCGAGCAGTGGTTTCACCCTGTATCACGACTGTTTTTAAATGTAGTGCGTTTGGAATGAGAAGTGTGGGGGGGGGGGGGGGGGGGTGCGCGAGCTAGGAATGGGCCGCCGCCGGGCAATAATTTGTGTTCACATAATATAATTTTAAATTTGACTTTTGCATTTAATTATTGTTCGTGAAGTTCGCCTCCCTTGTTGCGTCTATACAGATGGTCAGGAAGAGGCATTCCAAGTACCGAGGAACACCGAGCTTCCTACCAGCCTGTCATTGAGCACTTAAGTATATCCTAATGAGAAAAAAAATTTTTTTAATGTACGCTTAGGTAAAACGTGGCCAAACATAAAAATTACGTAGTACCCCGGGTGAACAGCTTGAAAGTGCGTCAGTCTCTCCACTCTATCTCTTAACTATCACAATAATTTGCTCTATAGAAATTGCATTAGACCGAGTGAGAAGCTTGAAAGTACGTCAGTCTCTCCCATTTAATCACTTGATTATCACAAATAGTGGCTATAATTATTAGTTTTCCGATGAAACACTCAAACCATAGACAAACATTATAACATTCAAACCATAATAAAACTCGGAAACCTCTTGCGTGACCGTCACTGCGAATTTTCTAAGCAGCACTGGGCCACAATGCGAAAGACAGTATTTGCATCGGCGAAGCTTGTGTTGGCTGGCGTTGAACGAGCCTTAGGCTAAAGAGTGGATATGACTGCGCAAGTAAAGTTCTCTAAAACCAACTTTTTATAATGGAATCTCATTCACGCCTGTTGTGTTCTAGGATAAAGTGCACTCCCCTTTGCGGCATAACCAAACAGCGAAAGAGAGAAACAGGTGACAAACAGTGGCAGAGTGAACAATAGCCTCCTCGTCCTCCTTCCATGCAAGTTTAGCGGTGGTTCCTTACTTTTTGCGCTTCTGAATAGTGTGCATTGGCGCGGAAGTTGCAAAGTTAACCGAAACTCGTTCCTGTGCCATGATAGACAAGAAATAGCTTGCTATGTGCGTGCTTCTTTAGTACAAAATTATTTTGACGCTAGGAATGCTTTGAAGTCAGGAGTCTTCGAGTGGTCCGGACTTTTCGAAAACAATGTAAATCCGAGTCAAGTACAACACAATCCAGCATTCACATGCGTAGAACAGATCACTGCGGCTGTTTTCTTAATAGGTATACTTATAAGAAGCTATGATTGACACCGAACGTTTACGCACCAAGATGACAATAAAAAAATGATGCAGACGTCCTAGAGTGCAGGACAACAGCCGTATTTCACTACCGGTGTTTGTTTGAAGTGCACTTAAATTGAAGCACACGAAGGTTCATATAAGCATTGTGGTCGCTTCCAGTACTCATGTTTTATCACAGAAGCAGCAAAGGGCAAAACAAAAGTTTTGCTTGTCTTGCCGTGAATGTTTAGTCACTATCATAAACGCTTTTTTTTTTTTGGTAAAATTGCACCGCGAAAAATTGCTGCAGCCAGGCTTTTTTTTCTATGTTAGTACCACTTTTGCTCATCTGTTCCTAGACTATGTTGCCATGTGAAAATTGGCTCCCCTGAAATTCTTCCCATTGCATTTAGAAACAAACATGCGATGCGAGGTGAGCTACACTGCAAACATGTGAAATTTCTAATACCAAACAGCGTAATTTGATCCTATAAAACGGCGTAGTTGTCTAGCTGCTTGAGAAGTTATGCAACTACTGGCATATTTCCATAATAAAAATACTGCCTCTCACACGGCTGACCTGATGGGAGAGTAATGTCGTCGGTCATTTAGAAATGCTGTCCACAATCGAAGAATATATCTTACGCGGTGGCCTCAGGCAGCGAGTTATAGGCAGAATACTGACTAAGGTGGAGTTCCAATTAAACACACTGTAAACACCTGACCTAAACGACCGAGACAGACTACTAAACGTCAGGGGGCGTTCGCCAGTCTAAAACAACAGCTTCGTTCACTGTTCGGAATGCGACTGTTGATGCTGGGCACTGACCTTCAAGTTCTGCTTTTTCCTGGCAGGAAGCTGCCACCGCTGGCATTCGTCCTCGCAGAAGGGCTCGGCGTCCAAAGGACAGACGTTTCCGCCATCTTGGACGACACACCCAGCCAGGCATTGCTCGCAAAGAGCATGTGAACAGGGCAGCAGCACGGTCGTGCTCGGAATGACGTGACACGTGCAGCAGGCGTAGCGGCTCAACGTGAACTCGTCCTCGAACCGCGTCGGGCGCCAGTTCGCGCCGCTCACCGAGTCGCACAGTCGGTGCAGAGCTTGACGCCCCCCGCGATATGGCATGGCAGTGGTCGAGTAAATGAAAGACGCACTGGCTTCCGCGGCACTTTTATGTGGGGCAGCGGACGTTCACTGGGAATCACGTGACTGTCGATAACGTCGTCGGCACTCGGCAGCTCCGTGCTGACCGTTGTTCGTGCGATGGTGCCGATGACCACTATCAGCAAATGGTGCCCCTGTCCGCTTCCTAGGCAGGGGTGTGGCAGTTTGGGCTAGTTGGTGTGACATGACGATACTTATGGCGCGAGAACAGAACGACGACAAAGAGACAAGAAGGACACATAGCGCTCGTGTTCTTCTTGTCTCTTTGTCGTCGTTCTGTTATCGCGCTATAACTATCGTCCTCGGCAGGGGTACGTTTGCCTATAGGCTTCATGCAGTCGAGTTTTATATTGTTACTAAAGCGCCAATATTCAAAGCCAAAATGGAACGCCACGTGCGCGTTTCTGTCCCTGCATGAGAGGGCGCATTGCGTCCGCGTGGGCGCTTGCGCGCGTCTCTTTTCTGTGCGCTCCTAACGGCCAATGTCACTCAACATAAAACGGGACACTTCGAGCATCGCATCTCCCTCTGCCCAGTAGATGAGGACAGCTCGCGTGACATGACAACGCCAGCCGTATTTCACTACCAGGGTCTGTTTCAAGTGTACCGAAATCGAAGCACACTAAGGTTCATTGGCAATAACTTTCATTGAAATAAAGTGCCGTGGTCGCTTCGAGTACTCTTGCTTTATAAGCAGTATCGCATTGCCAGAGCTAATCGGCGAACGGCAAAACGAAGGAAAGAGAAATACTTGATCGTTAAACAACGCAGAACGAGCTTGCTAGTGCGTGGGTAAGCATGGTAGAAAACAGTTCACAACTGACATGTTTCATGCACAAACTGGTCAAGATCTCATTTCATCGTGAGACCACGTGTCCTGAATCATGCAAAAAAAACGGGACACGACAGAAGAAACACGGTCGTTCTTCGCACCAATCAGTACTGTAAGTACAGGACTGTGAGTACTTGAACCCTTTCATACTATTAATTGTTAGCACAGCAGTACGTGATGAAGCCACGTGTGGACATTATTTCTTCTAGAAGGATAACTGAGGCAGACAACTTGTGCTTAGATTAGATTAGATTTGTGGGGTTTAACGTCCCAAAACCACCATATGATTATGAGATACGCCGTAGTGGAGGGCTCCGGAAATTTTTTACCACCTGGGATTCTTTAACGTGCACCCAAATCTGAGTACACGGGCCTACAACATTTCTGCCTCCATCGGAAATGCAGCCGCCGCAGTCGGGATTTGAACCCGCGACCTGCGAGTCAGCAGCCGAGTACTTTAGCCACTAGACCACCGCGGCGGGGCAACTCGTGCTTACCCACCGTGGTGTTCTAATGCGCCATTATGGCGTCCGACTCCATGGTGACAACAAGGACGCGTAATGGGATCCTGGTGTCGTAACGGCCTCATTTCGACGGAGGCGAACTTCTCGACAGCCGTGTATTTAGATTTAGGTGCGCGTTAAAAAAAAAAAAGCACCCACATGGTGAGATTCTCAGAAGCCTTCCCCTACGGCGTTTTTTTCTAATCATATCGTGGTTTAGGGATGCGAAACCCCAACAAGTATTATGATTGCTCGTGCTCTATAAATGCTCAGTTTACCATGCGCTTTGACGGCAATGCAGATCATGGCTGCTTTGCTATCTCTCAGCGCATGTCATTGCACACCGATTCAAGGCATGTTTCTTGTCATCTGTTTAAGGTACCAGTTCGTTGATAACGTTAAGGGAAGCTTACAGGTGTCAACATATCAAAAAAATTTCAGCTTTCACAGCAAGTAAACTCTTTCACGAACGTAATGTACAATATTCAGGGACTTAAAGGTAGCATGACTTTTTTTTCTACGGCGAAAGTTGTTTAGAGATCACCTTTCGCGTCACGCGCAGTTGTTGTTCTCCGGCTCCGCCGCCGGTGTCCGTAACCACATCGCGCGAAATTAAAAAAAAAAAACAGCTTATCAACGGAGTGAATTATGATGAGTGGGGCGAAGCGTCCGTCAGCCCGTCCATGCTTCCGTCCGTCCGCGCGACCATCTGTGCGTTCATCCATGCGTCCAACCATCTATTTGTCTGTCTGTCTTTCTGTTCATGCGTCCATCCGTCTGTACGTCCACGCGTCTATCCATCCGTCCGTCCGCTAGTCTATTGTCCATTTGTCCGTGCGTCCTAACGAACACTCCGAGTACCGCCATCTCCCTTCTCGCACCCCTGTGGCAAATACCCTTTCTAGAGCGGGTATGTGCCACTGGCGGTTACGTACTACTACATACATACAAGGGATGGACAGACCCACGCTTTAAGGAGCTTCGCCCCTAAAGCATTGCACCAATAGCACAGTGGGGCTTGAACCCGGATCAGCTGGGTGCCAGCTTAATATTCTATCACTGAATCAAGCCCGTGCTCGTAACTTGTTGTCACACTTGCCTTAGGCCGGCTTGACCTCGCACCAATGACTCAGTGGGGCTCGAACCCAGGTCCACTGGGGGCCAGCTCCGTATTCCACCAATGAGCTACACTGGTGCTTGGGACTTGTTGTCAAACTTGCCTCAGGCAGACTAGATGTCGGGAAAGCAATCGCGTTAATACGACTTATAAAGCGTTTTACAACAGCGAAAGAACAGCCAGTCGCAGAATTTGAATAGCGTAACGAGTGGGCCATCCAATGCTCCAAACCATCACAAAATCTTGTTCTTGTTCCCCTATTAACTGTGGCGCATACCCACTTCAGCCATAACTTCTTTTCGTCGTCAGCCACTGCATGGACAATTGGCACAAAATTCCTTGCAAGTGTTTAGCGGATACCATGCTTCTCAGAAGAATGACGAAAAATAGCATAGCGAATGCCAGCCTACTACCTGAATGTTTATTATAAATTGCCTAGTGGGTACCAAGCAAGTGTACTTGCTTTAGTTACCCAATAAGTGTTTTGAAAAGGCTATGAAAGGCCGCTCTTCTAGCTTTCGCTATGACTGTACGTTGCACGCCTACCACGCAGGCCTGGCGTTCTTTTTTTTTCTTTTATAATTGCTGTTTTGAGCTGTCGCTCGCAGTAACGGCATCATGCGGCTGCAAATCTGGGCTATAATAACAATGTTGGCTCTGATTCAAGAATTCTGGTGAAAATCAAAGTGTGACGCGAGCTGTGGGCACTAGAAACGAAGGTACGTGCACTACTTCACCGTAAGCTTTCGCTTTTTCAGTCCGCGACTTGTTCAAACATTCGACAACGCTGACAAAGTATTTTAACAAAAATCGAGGTTAAAACGTTTTTTTTAGGTGCGTTAGACTTAGGTACACGTTAAGCAACACCAGATGGTCAAAATGTTCGGAGCCCCTGACTACCGCATCGATCGCAATCATATCACGGATTTGGGACGTCAGGCCCAAACAACAATCAGTGTAGTAACATTTTAGCAAAAACTTCTTTTTCCTACGACCGTCTTTCTTCGTGGTCAAAGCCTGGCCAGTTCTCGATCGCATGGTGCAAGTACCAAGGCGCTACGATGCTGCGGCATCCCGGATGTCCAGCGTTGCTATGGTGACGCGACCAACGGATCTCGTCGAATGCTGGGGAGTGGACCCTTATGACGGGAGCAGCAAATGGCGCAGCCAGACGGCATGCGCATGCTTAGGCTTCATTGGACGGCTTATTTTCTTCTCGAAATGAATAAGTGATCCGAATCGCATTTCACCTGCGTTATTATAAGTACACCGGATGGCCCTGCCATTGGCAGTGTGCCATGAGAAATATAATCTGGTGACCAATTCATTAGCACAAGAGAGAGAGAGAGAGAAAAAAAAATTAAAGATAGAGACAGGGAGGTTAAACTAGACGAACTGGTTTACTACCCTGTACGGGGGTGGGGAAAAGGGTCTAAAAAAGGATAGATATGGTGCCGTAAAGAGTACGCACCTAGCCGTTGAAAGCACAGAGATTTCGCGAACGAACATATCATGTTTCTGTGAGTGTGTGTGTGGGGGGGAGGGGTAGTGCGTGCGTGCACGCTTCTCGTTGGCCAGTTGCACGGTAATTTGCTCCTAAATTTTCTTCGTCTTCCGTTAATTCCTATTCTTGCATAATTTTCGTTGATGGCTGCATTCTGAGAAGCGTTTTTTTTTTTTTTTGTCCCACTGAAACATGTTCGTGCGCAAACTAAGGGCGCCAAGCGTCAAAATTTTCAAAAAGGTCGTAACGTTTTTCAGATCAATTAACGAAGAAAAGAACTAAGCATGATGCCCAGAAGTAAAAATATATTTCTTGGTCTTCATTCGGTAACAAGCTCAGGGTGAAGAAATACAGCCAATAAAGAAAAAAACAGTGTGAAGAAACGTTTCGAAAAAAAATCAATCTGTGGCGCTATCGTTCTAGCGGAAGGTGCGACCGTAAATTGGATTCCGTACTTGCCTTAGCCGTCAGCCCACAGCCTGACCGAAAGTTAGTTCTATACTTTGACACGCCCTTAAAGTTTTGTAGATTTATAAACCGCATGCTTATTGCTTTTTCTTATCCTTTTTCTCACTTCTCTCGCTCGTCACGCTTGGTGCTCGGGGCCTCACGGTTTCACTTGAACGTCGAACCACGCTTCCGTTTTTCTTATTTCTCGAAATGCTTTCGACGTCCCTCAAACGTCGACCGGTTTCTTCTAAAATAATAAAATGAAAGTATTCTCCGTTCGTTGAACCAGCGTCCTTTCTCTCCTATTAGACATAGCGTGGCGTTTCATTCAGATTATAGTGTTTTCCATCACCCGTGTCCATTTCATCATTCACAGTTCCTAATAAAAGCAGAAACTCTGCAGTTCGTACAGTACAATCTATAAACGAGCTTCTACAGAAAAAAGTTTGGCACAGCGCATAGGCGTGTGCTAGAGGCAGTGAATCGGGGGAGCACCCGCACCTTTAATCATCGCAGAAGAATGCTGAGCCTGCACTGTAGGACGGTACACATATGTTGCGATTGCCTACAGTATGCGACACAGTGACTACGCCTTTGCAGTGCGATCAACAAGTTTGATGGCCGAATTTGGTCGGAAAGGAGAATTTTCCACCGGAAACTGTATTGAAGCCATCGACGGAACGCAACGTTGCAGAAGGCCCTACAAGTGCTGCTGCAACTTTTGCGATCGGGTGGCCTTTCCGAACGACT